TGTCTAATCACTAATGTTTTATATTTTATATCTACTATATATAATCTTTCTCATAAAATTAGTGTGATGTAATATTTAATGTTTTGTATTATTCATACACATTTTTGTAGATATACACCAATTCATTTGTCCAACTGTTGTATAAATTATCATATTATAAAAGATCCATCTTAGACTTCCATTTAAGTTCCAGCGGCACCAGATCTTTATGATTTTGGGGTTCCATTTAACAGTCATGGTCAGTCTTTTTGTATAAAAAAATATAGAAATATTAGTGAATATTATATAGCTAATCAAGTATAATCGATATTAAACTAACAGCTCATTGTCTGACTGCCTAAGTAAATTATCATATTATAAAAAGATCCATCTTAGGATTTCATTTAAGTTTTAGAGCACCAATTACTTCTAATCTTAGGGTTTCATTTAAGATCAGGGTTAGTCTTTATGTGCATTGGCATATTATTAAAGAAATCGGTTCTTAGCAACGACCGATTATATGTTGTTGTTTTTACGTGTAAGTAATAGATAAGAGATGTGCATTGTCATGTTCTTAAAAAATCTTTTTTTTATCACGACCAATTATATGTTGTTACACGTATAAGTAATAGGTCAAGAAGAGTCAAGGTCAACATTTATTGTACGTTGGCATGTTAACTAATAAATCAAGAAGAGTCAAGATCAACATCTATTGTACGTTGGCACGTTCTTAATGAAATCGATTTTTAGTCACAGACAATTATGTTGTTTGTTTCGCGTGTAAATAATAGAAAAGTGTTGAAAATATTAGTTTGTGGGGACGACAAATTGCTCAGTTATTGAACAAATAATGTTGTTACAAGAAAGTTTAAATAATATATATATATATTTTTTTTTGCATGAGGAACATTTTATGCTTTGATATTTTTCCTACGAATTGTCACTCTTTTATTTATTAATACATTTTAATTTTTAATATTCTCCAAAGTAAATACAACTCGTGCATCGCACGAGTTACATACTAGTGCAATGAAAAGAAAAAGGGATGAAAAGATACAATATCAAATGCAAATAAAAAAAAGGAAAGATATAGCATGTTGGTCTGTTTTTGAAGAAATCAGTGTCCAGTCAATAGATGGCAGACCAGCCCGCCCCGCCGGCCCGTTTTGACAAGTCTACCAGTCAAGGTCAACTGTACGTAGTTGTTTAACGTGTTACGAATAAGAATTTGAAGATTTTTAATTTGTGGCCATGACGATGTACCAAAAATTCAAACAAAGAATGTTGTGTCTAAGAAGATTTTTAATAATATATAAATAGCATTTTATGTTTTGAAAAATGATCACATCATCCAAATCAATATGTTTTCCTTAATATTATTAGCTCGTGCATCGCACGGGTATTGTACTATTTAAAATTATTTGATTAGCTATCAGAGCATCTTTAACCATAAACCTCAATAAACCTCTTTTTACACTTATCAACACGCCACATCATCAAAAAATTCATTCTTACTCCTACACCTATAAACCTCCAATCTATATATATATAATTGCTGGCTAATAACATTTAATAAAAATTTAATAAAACCCCATTTCGATTTCCCTCCAAAAACCGTTACAAATTTTATCATTTATATCTCTCTCT